TGATCAATCCCTGAGCGTATAAAAGTTATCAATAATAAGCATCTGAAGTCGGAAGTCCCGGCTAAATGCGATATTCGTCCCAGTAGGGCTTCAATTTCCTCTGATGTTCCTGCTTTGCCAGTCTACCAGGAAATCCATAAAATATTATGACAAACAAGACTTTAACTACCAAACAGCCACCATCTCACATAGGACAGCTTGTCTAAGAGACCTTGTGACGAGCTTACCTAGTTTTTTATAAAAATGATAAGACAGCGTGGACACTATCAGCATCTATTCTACACTATTCGTTAAGGTTGAAAAGAAACAACTTAGCCTAAAGATAAAATTAAAAATTGCGCATAAAGGATAATATTTTATTTCTTTTAAATTATAAGCTCACATTATGATTACTTATAAATTCTTAATCAAACAACTCCTTTTTCAAAAATTCAGAACTGCATTAGTAGGTAATTTCTAAGAGAACAACCTCTGATTTTGCAGCCATCACGCATAGTCCAAACTTTCTTTAACTTCTTGGTCTTTCCCTGTGCTTCCTCTTGCAAGCTGGTATATTTTCTTTCAATATCCAAGCGTTCTTGCTATGACAAAAATTAGTAAACTTCAGAATTTTCTTTGTAAAATTAAATATCTAATTCTTTAACAAATGACATAAATGATCTTAGCAACTCTGATCTTCAAAGCAATCCATAAATATGCTTTTTTTTGTTTTTTTTTTTTTTTTTTTTGAGACAGAGTCTGGCTCTGTCGCCCAGGCTGGAGTGCAGTGGCCGATCTCAGCTCACTGCAAGCTCCGCCTCCCGGGTTCACCCATTCCTCCTGCCTCAGCCTCCCGAGTAGCTGGGATCTACAGGCGCCCGCCACCTTGCCCGGCTAGTTTTTTGTATTTTTTAGTAGAGGACGGGGTTTCACCGTGTTAGCCAGGATGTTCTCGATCCCTGACCTCGGTGATCCGCCCGTCTCGGCCTCCCAAAGTGCTGGGATTACAGGCTTGAGCCACCGCGCCCGGCCTCCATAAATATGCTTTAAAATTTCAATACGATTATAGATATTTAGCTTTCCACTAGAAAAGTTAAATCTCGCCAGCAAAATACCAAACTAAAAACAGAAAGTCACATTACCTCTTTTTCCTCAAGTTCTCTGCGAAGTTGCTCTGCTCTTTTCCTCCTTTCTTCCAGTTCCATGTTAGATTCTTCAAGAAGTTTCTCTTGTTCCTCAGCTTTGGCCAACAAATCAACCCCACCAACAATTACCTTCTTTTCCAGGGCAGATAATTTTTCCAGCAAAGACTGATGCTCTTGTCTGTTGATCAGAATGAGGATACTCTATATTCACTGATCATCTATTATTCTACTAATAACATTTCCCAAAATTTAACAAAAATTTGGATATACAATTTCAAAATACAAATATAATTATGTAACATCTCTACCAAATTATACCACTGTGTAGTATCGATTTCTCATTTAATCTGTAACTCATTCTAATTCATTGATATGTTCTCCTATCACGCGGAAATAAAATAATCAAAACAGATCTAGTTTTTAGAAATACACTATATACAATAGACCCTTCTATCCAAAAAGTTACACTAGAGACAAAAATCAAGCTTTTAATTACTATTCAATTTTCCTATTTTATATATCCTATGAAAAAACAGAAATTTAAATCATGAATTCATCTCAATTCAATAATACTCACTGGGCTTTAAGAAGATCTTTTTCTCGTTTCTCTAATTCAGCTCTAGCCTTGTTTCTTTCTTCTTCTTCCATGTCGAGCTTTGTTTCAAGTGCTTTTCTCTCCTCATCAATTTTTGCTTGCATTTCAATCATCTTGTCTGGGGATACTTTCTTTTTTCCTATTTGAATCATTTAATTGAAACAATCACTAAAATGAGTCAGTGTTTCAGACTTATATAAATTACCTCCTTCAATGTAGAAATGCCTACACTCCTCAATAATACAAAACCAATTATCAATATTTTAAGGAAATCAAACCAATAATACCATGCATTTCCATTTATTATGTTCCTAGAAGAACTTTATAACTCATTGCTAAATTCAAACTGTTGTCCAATTTTACAATGATAACTAAGAACAAAAGTGAAAGAGAAGCAAAATAGATGAGCTAAGTAATAGGAAAAGAAAGATTAACAGGAAAGCCAAATTAAAAAAAAAAATTATGTCCCCAGATAACAAATACAGGTTTAAAAAAAAGCAACATGATTCTTCAGTTACTTTTTCTTGATAACCAAGTACAAAATCAAGTGACTCCTTAAAATATATTTCCCAATTTCACATAAAACAAGTGAATAAAAGTCACATATAGGTATAAAACGCACAGATAAAAATATCAAGCAGAATTTGTATCAAGTAGTTTTAATATATTTTTCAGAGTTTTTCTAAAATGTTTGTTAAATAACATTAAAGTATTTAATTTCACAGCATACTTTCAAAGGAAAAAATTCTATGCTATGTAATTATGTAACAGTTACATACACAGTAATTAACTAAGCATTTCACTCCTCAGCTGAGCTGTCAAGATATATCATCATACACTAAAGGAACAACTAAAATAGCTTGCTATTATGTCAAACTCAGGACTCGAAGGCTCCCTAAGTCAGAGTAACCATGCCAAGTGTCAAATATAAGTAGAAATGCTACCAAATAATAAAGCTGGAATACGGTTTCCAATTGATTATTTTTGCTAATAATGTCTAATAAAGTATTTTACATACATGTAACAGGTGCTCAAGGAAAGTTTATTAATGAATTTCAAAATCATAAAATCCAAATAAAACAAGAGAAAATAAAACTAGCTTAATAAACTGGTTATGAAACTGAATCAAAGGCAATTCATTTCTGATCATACAGTTTCTTAGAAACATACATTCCTTCACAAAACCAATAAAATTTTTCATAGAATTGGTCTGAGGCTCTCCTAGAACCTTTCTGTCATTCTTAACTTCCTTCCCAAAGAACTATAGAAGAAGAGTGTAAATCATAAGAGTTTATAAATTGTTAATGTCTCCACCCAAAAGCTAACCCCCAACCACCTAACAAGGTAAAAGAACTGAAAAACAATTATGATGGAGATACATAACTGAGTATATTCTTTCAGGAACTATGAAATGAAGAATCATTAATAGGCTTTAACTCTTCAGGACAAAATTACGTAAAAAACTCAAGGGTTTAAAATACATTACTTCTATAGAACTGTAAGTCCAAAGCAAACCTAAGGCACGAGACAAATGAAACAAAAGAGTAAATAAAAGCACTGATCCAAATTCATGCTTTGGTGTGGTGTGATTAATTGCATTCCAAAAGTCAGGATGTAGACTGATTCTATTTACTGGCTTGTTTGGCACAGTCATCTGTATTGAATCTTACGAATTAGCTATTAAAAAATAACTTTAAAATAATTTAACTACTATTCCCATAGTACTTCCCATTAGTTATACTATGTCTTAGAAATTTGAAGCTACAAAGTATCAGTTCAGGTATATAGTAAATATACACATTCAAAAAAGTGTAACTTGCTTTCCACCTCAGAATTATAAGTATTTAAAGACAAAAATGGGACATATGTTAAGATAAAAATAATAAATGCACAAAGACAGTGATGCTAACAGTATAGAGGAAATGATCTAATCAACATATGAACAGTAGTATGTACAGGCTTCAAGGGTTCTAATTGTTTTAATAGTTAAAAACAGTTTCAAAACCCATTAAGAAGCAGTAAAATAAAAAGATTTTTTTAATAAAAAGATTTTATATGTAGAAATACAAAGACACATAACTGTTCATGAATTAATACATTACATTAGTAATTTAAAACTTTTCAGGTATGTTTCCAAACTGATACTTTAGCAGCAAAAGTCTTATTGTGGTCTTGTAACACTTTCATGAAGACAATCAAAGAGATATAGCCAGGGTTAGTTTCAAAAGCCTAATATTTAAGTAACATATTACTCTAGACAAAATCACTCTGATAAATCATTATATTTCTTCACAAATAATATTTTAAGCTAAATGTGAATATGTACTAACTCTCCTAACCAGGTATTTAAAAATGTGACATCACTAAAAGTCACTTTTACATGTATTTTTTAAGACTTTTTTTAAAAAAAAAAAAACCTTATTAAACAAACCAAACAAAAAAGAAATCTATTTCTAACAATGCATGATAAAATTCATCACAAAATTTCAGGCAAATAAATATTTTTAAAAGTTAATGCCTTGGGAGGTCGAGACGGGCGGATCACGAGGTCAGGAGATCGAGACCATCCTGGCTAACACGGTGAAACCCCGTCTCTACTAAAAAAATACAAAAAACTAGCCGGGCGAGGTGGCGGGCTCCTGTAGTCCCAGCTACTCGGGAGGCTGAGGCAGGAGAATGGCGTAAACCTGGGAGGCGGAGCTTGCAGTGAGCTGAGATCCGGCCACTGCACTCCAGCCTGGGCGACAGAGCGAGACTCCGTCTCAAAAAAAAAGAGTTAATGCCATAAACAGTATTTAATTAAACCAGACATAAGTAGCAACATTTTTTATTGCCCTTTGCCATGTGCGCTAATATTGTGAAGGTAAACTGGCCAGGGTAAGTTAAAGGGGAAGAACTTCAGGGCAGTCCTAACTGAATCATTTTTATTACATAAGCACCCATGGCATAACCAGGCATCTGATTCTTGGCTTTTTAAAAAAAGGAGAAAAATGTTTGAATGTGAAATAATTTACACTTGTAAAAATGGGTGTTACATTTCCAAAATGGGTGTTTAAGAATTTAGGAAAAAAAATGAAGTTATTTTTAAAAGCTAAAGTTGAAAGAGTGTTAAAAATACAAAAGATAGATACTTACCTGGCAAAAAAAGTATTAAATTTTAAAAATTTAATGTATTTAAATAACATAGTTCTTTATAGGATAAATAATTGTACCACGTGGAGTGCAAATCAATCACACCAACCTGCTTGATCTTGCAATAAGAAGAAGTAAGCAAATCGCAGACAGGAAGCATATGCACAGAGATGAGGAGGAAAAAAAGGAAAACATTATTTCTCTTGTAAAACAAAGAAAAATACATAATAGCATTCATTTAAGTGTAGAAGTAAAAATCAAATCGTTATCAAAACTGAAATAGAGCCCATGTAAAAAGAAAGCATATTCAACACAATGAGAGATGTCATTTAAGGAAGAATATTAAAGTTAACTTAGTCTTAGATTATAACTCAAGCCAATCTCAAGAGCTCACACTGATTCCCCAAGTCCTGCAAAGGTCACAGTTCAACACCATGTGGTTATGCTAACAGTAGACATGAAATTAGGAACCTGCTAAGATCTGGGAAGTAATCTAAAAGAGCAAAACAGAAAATTAAGCCAATTTTAACAACTAGTATGTTTAAAGTGACAAAATTCACACTGTCCATATCAAAAATGTCCTAATTCAATATTTCTTTTTGTATATGGATCTATTACAGGCATGCTTCACTTTAAGAAAATCTAACACAAAAACCTGAACCAAACAGATAAATTAGATTACAGTAATTTCCCGATTATTTGATCAACAGAAAGGTCTAATGAAGAATTTTTAAAGACAGCAAGTTCTCCCAATACCTCCGATTTCCCAACCGGATTAAGGGCTTTTTTTTTCCCAGAAAATAAAATTATTACGTAAAATGAAGTATACCTGTACAGTAACAAACTTACATTCCTTCTATTAGTAGACTGTTAAGGGTAATTATAAACAATGATTCTATAGGAGTCGGTGTCAATGATTCAAGCAAGAAACACCTTTTACAAAGGCCATTCAGATATTTAAAAGGGAGGGTACACACAATTTACACACAGCAACCACATGCTAGGACAACCATCTCTCCACTTTACCAACACGCTCACATTACAACAAAAAAATTCTGTGCTAGATATGCAAATAGGAATTAAAACTTCTTGAACAAAGTACAACTCATTTCATAACATACTTTCATATAACTACTCTTTAATAATTAAGTTTTAAAACAGAAAACTAAATTGCAATGCCTCCCACTCAAATATTTTCTCATATTTCACAGTTTATTATACAAAGCAATACCTCTATGTGGTTTCTAATGCAATTCCAAGTATTTTACAAATTATCCTTTGAAATGAATTGTTTTGGTAACTTGCCTACGAATTGTCAATAAAGAAAGAAATTTCTAATATTCTTGGAATTCTTCTTCTAGAAAGCTAAAAGCATAAGAACAACAAGCAATTATTTTTGTCATTCGTTTTGAAAGGGTAAGTATATAGATAATGCTTTAAAAGACAGTAAGCTGCAGGGTGGTACAAGAAAGCAATACTACTCCCCTTTCTTCTGAAAATAAAATATAAATAAATTAAGTAACACTTTTCAATTAAACTAGGTTTTAACAAAAGCCTTTAAGTTTGAAATAAGTCTAGATGGATCCTGCACAAACTTCTCGTGATTCTGCATTCGCAAATCATACCTTAGAAAATTTCTTAAAATCAGCTGGGTGCGGTGGCTCACGCCTGTAATCCCAGTACTTTGGGAGGCCGAGGCGGGCAAATCACGAGGTCAGGAGGTCGAGACCATCCTGGCTAACACGGTGAAACCCCGTCTCTACTAAAAATACAAAAAGGAGCCGGGTGTAGTGGCAGGTGCCTGTGGTCCTAGCTACTCGGGAGGCTGAGGCAGGAGAATGGTGTGAACCCGGCAGGCAGAGCTTGCAGTGAGCAAAGACTGCGCCACTGCACTCCAGCCTGGGCAACAGAGGGAGACTCTGTTTCAAAAAAAAAAAAAAAAAAAAAAATTTCTTAAAATCTATCAGGTAATTTAGAAATATGGATAAATGTCCGTTTGAAACAAAATGCTATTCAATTCATTTTTACTTGCTTCAAGCTTTACGTTTTTCTTTATTTGGGAGCCTTTAATCTTAAGCTACCAATAAGAATAGGACACCAAAGTGTAAAAACTTGCAACTTTACGACATGTTATAATGGGCATTGGTGTACTTCAAATATAATTTGTACTTTTAGATATATAAGATTTGATGTTACGTGTCCATTATTCTGAGCAGGATTACAAATGTGTCATGAAACCTAAAAAAGAACCATAAGAATTATTCTTTTATACAGCTTACTAGCTCTCTTTACATTATCTCAATTGCAAAAGCATGAATCTCTCTTCCATTGTCTCAAACATAAGCTAAAGCATATGTTTTAACAATTATGATTAACTGGAAGCAATGAAAGGGGGAGGAGGAATCATCACATGCTTTGTTCTACTGAGGAATCCAACATGTATTCTTTAGGTAATGACAGGGAGTGGTGCAGCAGCATTGCTCAAATGAAGCCCATGGGTTATGGAAAAGCCAAAGCTCTGTTAGAGAATGTAAGAGCTACCACTCACTAGGCAAGAACTTATCCAGAGGTTTCTCTATGACAGAACATGTGGAGTCTGAACTACTGCTGCTGCTACTGCCTGGAAAACAAAGAAATGAGCCCAACGGGAACCAAAGAAAGAGGAAACAAGAAAATGAACACACACACACAGAAAAATTCAGTTTTGAGAAAAAAATTTTAAAGGACAATCAAGCTCTGTATTAAAGAACCAAAATTTACTTTCCTAAAAAACCAGTCTTGGTAGTTTATCTGATATTCTCTACTTTACAAAGCCATACAGAGGAATTAGAAAGTGTACTCCTTTAAGCAACTACTGTGGGCAAATTCTACTGGTCACCTAAAGCCTAATCATTCAAAGGGTTGAAATGAGAAGAATAAAAAATAAAGAAGTCATTTGGTGAGATTTTAGTCTATTGAAACGATTTAGGTTGATAAGCTAAAGGAATGGAGTTTTAAAACTTAAAGCCATATGTAATATTATAGGAGTGATATATTACCCTTCATAATAGGTTAGTCTGTCTCCACTTTCAGTCTCTCCCCACCAAAATATCAAACTATCAAATATGTTTAAGGTTGGATAGCAAAACTTTCAAAAGGCTCATTGAAAATTTTTAAATTTCTAAGTCTGGAAGGAAGATATATTACTGTTAAATATTTTAACATATTAAACAGTGGCATTTTTCTATTTAATTTTATTTTTAACAAATCTGTTATCAGCTTCTGCTGTGAAAGTAATAATCTACTCTGTGAAAAACTAGGTGTGAACAAAAAAAAAATTTCTCTAAGTCAGGCAAACATTTTCTGCAAAAGGACAGATAAGTGTTTCAGACTTTACAGGCCATACAGCTTCATGTGAAAGCAGCCATAGAGCACAGGTAAATAAATGAGCATGGCTGTTTCAATAAAATTTTATTTACAAAAACAGGTGGTCAGCTGGATTTAGCCAGCAGATATTTTGCCAATTTTTGCTATAAAACATTATTTTTCTGTCTTTTGAAGTTACAAAATCTTTACATAGTTTTTAAATTTGGGACTTCTAATCAAGCAGTGATGGGTTTATTTTCAGCACGATCATTTTAATAAGACAAACAAAATATGCACCAGCTTGAAAACAATGACCACATTAATGGAAGAGAGTTCTGAAATAAATATTTATGGTAAAAAGGTTTGAAATGTAGGCCATTATAATATGTCCATTTCATTTGCATATTATCTATATTCTTATCATAATAAACAGTCTTAATTCACACTTGGCAACAAATCCACCAACAAGGTGAGAATGAGAATACATTTTATAAAGAAAAAGAACTAAATTTAAAAATGGAATTCTTCATATAAATTTACTATTTAAAAATTCAATGACTTTTAAAGACTAATCTTGTTTGCGGAAAAACTCCACATTATCCTAATTTCCTTAAAAAACTTAGGTTCCAACCAGGCATAGTGGCTCATGCCTGTAATCCCAGCACTTTGGGAGGCCGAGGCAGACAGATCATGAGGTCAGGAGATCAAGACCAGCCTGGCTAACACGGTGAAACCCTGTCTTTACTAAAAATACAAAAAATTAGCCAGGCGTGGTGGCACGCGCCTGTAGTCCCAGCTACTCGGGAGGCTGAGGCAGGAGAATCACTTGAACCCAGGAGGTGGAGGTTGCAGTGAGCCGAGATCATGCCACTGCACTCCAGCCTGGGCGACAGAATGAGACTCTGTCTCAAAACAAACAAAAAAACTTAGGTTCCTAACACAGATATAAGTCCCTACATAAAATTAAAACCCACAGGAAATTTTAAAACAGCATACCCACTATTATAGAGTCTTACAATTCTAAATTCTAAAAAACAGAAGATATATTCAAAGTCAGCTATAAACGGATCAATACAGGAGAATAAATGCAAAGTTAACCAGGTAAATGGCATACACCTTCTAATTGTTATAACAACAACTAGATAATTGTTATCTAATATATTAAACAGATAATGGCAAAATAAAAGTCATGCACTCTACCACCTTGTGAAACCACCTAACTTCTACAAATTAGAATACTAATCAGAACTTACCCCTTCTTTTTTTCCTTTTCTCTCCATCTTCTCCAACCTCACCTTCTTCATCATCATCTTCCTCTGACCCACTGATATCAGAGCCTGATATTTCTTCTCCTTGGACAGAAATTTAATAGGATGTTTTTTATCCTGTACCAAGTCATTAGCTATTTAGGCAATACCTATATCAACTTTCTTCCTTAGGTTTTTGTTACTGCAAACAACAAATTTAAATACTATTTAAATGCTCTAGAGAGTATAACAGATACGCCAATCTCAGACATAGATAAGATGTACAAAAAGACTTTATTTTTAAAGTCTCTAAAGAGAAATTAAATTCTGACCCAATTAAAATTTCAAATCATTCTGGCTAGGCAAGGTGGCACACGCCTGTAATCCCAGCACTTTAGGAAGCTGAGGCAGGCAGATCACTTGAGGCCAAGAGTTTGAGACCAGCCTGGTCAACATGGCAAAACCCCATCTCTACTAAAAATACAAAAATTAGCTGGGCGTGGTGGTGCGCACCTGTAATCCCAGCTACTTGGGAGGCTGAGGCAGGAGAATCACTTGAACCTGGGAGGCAGAGGTTTCAGTGAGCCAAGATGGCGCCACTGCACTCCAGCCTCGACAACAGAGTGAGACTCTGCCTCAAAAAAAAAATACATAAAAATATTCAAATCATTTAGTTATGTATAATTTTAAACATATACATAAATTATGTGATAGAATTACTAATTCAGTCTTTAAAAATGTGATCACTTTTGAGGAACAATTTCTTCTAAAACAGCTTCCTGCTTAAGATTTCAAGAAAATCACTTAATCTGTATTTTTAAGAGACACAGAACTGTCACGTAGCAGTGATCCCACTATTAGGACTGTATCACAAGATATTTTCAAAAAAAGAAATGCTTATTTGCACAAAGATAGTGCTAACTACACATTAACTTAAAGATAAAAAACAATAAAAAAGGAATGATTAAGCCAAGAGAACAGATCAGCACTGTATCATCTTCACATTAGCTATTTTTAAATGCCACTGTTTACATATGAAATGTCTAGCAAAATAAAAGAGGAGAAAAAAGTAAAATATACCCTAATCACAACCAGGTAATAATTGTACCTGTAAGTACAAGATGGAAAGGAACACAGAGTATTGGGAGGAGGAATCACTGAAAAATATTTTGTTCTCTGGGCTTAGAAACAATGATATCTTGATAGTAATGAGCATAGCTAATGCCCAAAACTGGGTTTCTAAATACCACTCTCCTACCAAAGGGACCAGGGAGAAGTGAATGATTTTAAGGCTGGGCAAGGAAGACACAAGATAAACCTTTTGTAGTGCCAAAAAGTAACCAAATGCTCAAAAACACTGAAGAGCACCTGCTGAAAGAATACAGGAACTACTCTGAAGGATTTCCTAATAGCCAAAGCTGGGACAATTCAAGAAACAAAATAAATAATGATAATACTGGATTATAATCCATGATCTAAATAAGATAAATACTTGAATAAATAAATAAATGGGAATGAAGGGGCTGCTCTTCCTCACAATAGAATCCTAAACACTAACCAAGAAGAAATGATGAGAATAGAAAATAACATTGAGCAAATGCCACAGGATTATTGTTGCAGGTAAGAACTACTGATGAATACTAAAAATAGTAGGAGAAAGTGTGACGAGAAACAGGACCTTTGCAGTCTCAAAGTATCCCCAATGAGATATTATTAATTACAAATGGAAAAATAAAACAATAGATTTGCAGGGTCATTATAAAAGAACAGTAGACAAGCCCAAATTAATGAACATTCAACAAATATATGACCAGTACTCTTCAAAAATGTCAAGATCAAGAAAGACTGGGGAATTATAAAAGACTGAAGAACAAGTGTGCTAGACATCGTCATTAAGAAGGCATGACAGGGCCGGGCGTGGTGGCTCATGCCTGTGGTCCCAGCACTTTGAGAGGCCGAGGCGGGCAGATCATGAGGTCAGAGGATAAAGAACACCCTGGCAAACATGGTGAAACCCTGTCTGTACTAAAAATACAAAAATTAGCTGGGCATGGTGGCACGTGCCTGTACTCCCAGCTACTCGGGAGGCTGAGGCAGGAGAATCACTTGAATAGGGAGGCAGAGGTTGCAGTGAGCTGAGATTGCGCCACTGCATTCCAGCCTGGCGACAGACAAGACTCTGTCTCAAAAAAAAAAAAAAAAAAAAGAAAGAAAGAAAGCATGTCAAATAAATGCAATGTGTGATCCTGGATTGTATCCTGGACCAGGAAAAGAAAGGCACTGGAAGGAAAACTGGCCAAATTTGAATAAAGTCCACAGATTAGTTAATAAGACTGTATCGATGTAAATTTCCTGGTTTCAATAACTGTTGTATGCTTATATAAGATGTTAACATGAGGTGAAGCTGGCTAAAGGGTAGATAGGAACTCTCCATATCATGTTTGCAAGTTGTATTTAAGCCTAAAATAATTTTTAAGTTTAAAAATTATTCTTTTACTGCTATGCTTTTTTCTTGTTGTTATTATCAGCTCCATTAACCGGATTATAAAAAGAAATGTCATAAGAACAAAAATAAAGTGCAATGTATTAAAAACAGTATTATCATAGAATCCAGCAATTCCATTGCTGGGTACATACCCAAAAAATGGTAAAACAAGAATTTCAACAGGTATTTGTATACCCACGTTCATAGCAGCATTATTCACAATAGCCAAAAGGTGGAAGGAACCAACTGTCCATTGGTGGGTGAATGGATAACAAAATGTAGTATATACACAATGGAATATTATTCAGAATTAAAAAGAAGTCCTAATACATGCTACAACACAGATGACCCTTGAAGGCATTATACTAAATGAAATAAGCCAGTCACAAAAAGACAAATGCTGTGTGATTCCACTTTCTTTTTTTTTTTTTTTGAGATGGGAGTCTCATTCTGCCACCCAGGTTGGAATGCAGTGGCATGATCTCGGCTCATGGCCACCTCCACCTTCCAGGTTCAAGTGATCCTCCTGCTTCAGCCTCCCAAGTAGCTGAGATTACAGGCGAGAGCCACCATGCCCAGCTAATTTTTGTATCTTCAGTACAGATGGGGTTTCACCATGTTGGCCAGTCTGGTCTCAAAATCCTGACCTCAAGTGATCCACCTGCCCCGGCCTCCCAAAGTGCTGGGATTATAGGCGTGAGCCACTGCGCCCTGCTGATTCCACTTTCATAAGATACCCAGAGCAGTCAAATTCACAGACAAAGCAGAATGGTTGTTGGCCAGGACCTAGGGGAAGGGAGGAATGGGTAGATACTGTTTAACGAGTATCAAGTTTCAATTTTGCAAGAAGAAAACTGGAGACGGATAACTGCAGAACGATGTGAACATAACACCACAGAAACGTAGACTTCAATGTGGTTAAAATGGTAAACTTTATGTTGTGCAAGTTTTGCCACAATTTTTTAAAAAGGAAAAAATTCAGGCACTTGCTATAATATGGATGAACCTTCAACGTTCCGTTAAGTGAAATAAGCCAGTCACAAGAAGACACTCTATGATTTTACTTATATGAGGTACCTAGAATAGTCAAATTTATAGAGACAGAAAGTAGAATAGTGGTTACTAGAGACTAGGGGGAGAAGAGAATAGGAAATTACTACTTAATGGGCACAGCGTTTCTGTTTGGGATGATGAAAAAGTTCTAGAAATGAAGAGTGGTGACAGTTGCACAACAATGTGAATATACTTGATGCCACTAACTGTACACTTAACTAACAATGGTTAAAATGATAAATTTTATGTTGTATATATTTTACCACAACAAAAAAAATGTAAAACATAAAGTCAGCAAAATAAAAGTATGCACTCACCATTAACATCGCTAAGAAATTAAAAATCTTTAAAACATACTGGCTATAAATACCACCTAGTGGTCACGTTTAAAATACCAAATTTCATTATCTAACAGTTCTCTTCCTGCTTTTCCTCAATAACTGTACTTGTTTACTAAATAAGTACCTTCTCTAAACATTTGTGATGCTGGCGTCTCTGAATTTCACCTCTGATCTAGTCAGTCTCCTCACAGACTACAAAGGTGCTTTGAAACCAAAGCCCTCTGTTTACCTGGTTCGCAAAGGAGCTCTGTACCTATCAGAAAGGATCTGTTTCTTGCATTAAGGTGCAAGGAATCACTGAGCACTTAATGCCTGGGAAGCATCTCACTCTCATAAATAAGATCTTCAAATTTTCCAACTCTCTAGCATCATGATGTTAGAAAAGAATTTCCAAAATAGAATCTCATGTTCAAATTTAGGTATGAAAGGATATTGTAAAGGTGACCTCATGCAACGCATTTTTCCTTATAGCAAACTTAGTTTACTCACGACTAACATCTTTCTTTACCTCAAACAATAGTGAGCTCATATTGACTGCAATGCCAGAATTCTGGTCATTTTCACCTAAATACATACATGGCAGAATTTGCTCTTACACAGAGACAAATAAACATTCATTCTTTAACAAGTGGTCATATGAAATCTATAAAACATCATGGGAATGTTTAAAAACCACATACACAAATATTATGTAATTTTACTTAAGCTTAATATGAAAATGCAAAAGTATATAAGTACCAAGTCACTTTCCAGAAATATTCATTTAACTACCAATGTTAGAGGCTCAAAAAAGGTTTAATAGAGGGGGCTTTTGTTACAACACTTAGTGGTTCAACAACATATTTTTAGCCAATATAAAGATTAATATTTTGAGAAAAAGCTACCTTCTTCAAGTTTCTTTTTCAGTTCTTCTATTTCTTTCTGGAACTGACGCAGCAAAGCATCCTTTGGATCTTCATTAATTCTAGCTTTATTTTTAATATTCTTAGCACGATTGGCATACCGTAATGTACTGATCGTTTCATCATAATTGTAATCTGCTGGCCCAATATTTGCACACTATTGAATTAGAAATATCAAACAAATCATTTTACACTTGACACAGTTAAAATTAACACTACCATTACAAATACGTCAAAAACTGTTTAAAGCACATATGCACCCTTGGCCTTCTTGAAAATGAGAGTGTCAACCACATGGGTTTCCAAACGACACTATTATGGGCTAATACACATGTGTGTACCACAGAAAGGACAACCACAAGTCAAAAAAAGGGAAAATAATCAAGTTTTAAAAATGTGATACATATCAATTATTGGCATAAATTAGAATCTTAAATTTGCCTGATGTTAACTATATCACCAATTAAGTCTTACCATCATGGTTTTTGAATTTCCTCCTAAGGAATCCTGAAGAAGACGAGTCAATTTAGAGTTACGATAAGGCACATGAGTGCTTTTTCCATCAACCAAGGCAGAAATTACATTACCAAGGGTGGAAAGTGAAAGATTGATTTTTGTAGCTTCCTTTAGGCGCTGTCCAGTAGCTCCAGTTTTTGCCTGCCTTTCTGAACCCTAGCAAAAACAGAGATGAAAGTAAAGCTAAAATGTTTGAAAAAATAGAATATTCTTCCCAAGGTTTTGTTAAAAAGTAATGTAACAGTAAAAAACCTGATATGATGCCTGAATTCACTTCAAAATAATATAGGAAGGGAAGAAGTGGGTGAGAGTACATGAAACAAGATTAGCCGTGAACTAATTGTTGGAGTTGGGAGTGTATGGGGGATCACTATACTATTCTATCTACTTTCATTTACATTTAAAATGTTCCATAATAAATAATAAACATACACAAGTAACAACTTAAAAATCATATGTAAATTATACCTTTTCACCTCAATTTTCATTCATTTATAAAATAAATGGATCACAAGAAAGAGTTATTCCTTAAGCAGCGTCCTGTTACTTACAGCAAGATCTACAAGATGGAGCTTCCCCATCCTGACATGCATGTTACCATCAATGCCTTTTTCACTGCATTCTATAGTAATTGTAAAGATGGCATGGGAACGGGAACTATGTTCATTCATATTAGTTGCACCAACAGAACCTTTAATAAATAAAGGAAATCCTTAAAAAGTGTGACAGAGAGTACCTTTAAAATTAATTAAACACCCCGAACAGTTTAAAATACTTAATTTTATCACAATCAAAAGCCAGAGAGCATGGCTAAACCATAAAGGCATGAGTGTGTACTTAGCCATTACATGAAATTTATCTTATACTTTGTTGATAACAAATGAATTTGTAAGGTTTCTCATACTAAAGACGTAACTTTAGCAAAAAATAATTTCAATCCCAAGTAATACTGCCTAAAAAGTAACTAACTTACACCCAAAAAAACCACATTAAGTAATTGGAAAAAGTATTGCTGATTTAGCTGTCTAAAGAGAATTATGCAAGCTGCTGTACTGTAGGAAGTAAAAAATAATAATAATAATAATAAATAAATAATAGCTGGGCAAGAATTTTAGCTACTTGGGAGGCTGAGGCACAAGAATCACTTGAATCCAAGAGGTGGAGGTTGCAGTAAGCTGAGATTGCGCCACTGCACTCCAGCTTGGGTGACAGAGTAAGACTTTGTCTCAAAAAAAAAAAAAAAAAAAAAGAATTATGTCCTGGGCATATAAACCACAGGAACACTTGCGTGTATATGTTAGATAATACAACAATATTCAGTGCAGCATTAAAAAAAAGGTAGATCTAAAGACATGGAAAAATGTCCATAACATATAAATTAAAAATAAAAGCAAGTTAGAAAAGAATACATAATCCTACTTCTGTAAAAAAAAAAAATCCATTCAAAATATGCAAAGTATTTGCATATCTGTAAATATATGAACACATTGTGTAAACAAAAAACGTTTTTTTACAATAGACCTGTATTAGCTTTTTTCTTAAATTCCAAAGTATTTTAAAAGCATTGTTAATTTTACTCAGTGCCAAAATTATCTTCCTACTATACATTCATGCAGAACTTTTCTATACAAGCTTTGATTTTAGAATTTAAACATTAAAGCGGTAGTCTTTAATGAAGAGACCAAAAGTTCCCACTAACTACCTGAGAATTAAATTAATTTCATTCTATGAATGAAATATTGTGTTAACAACTTTTAATTAAATAACCAATAATTAACGTATTTCTGGTATTTAAATTTTTTTTAATAAAAGCATACAGAAAGTATAAAGTGAAAACTCCTGACATTCCTTTTCCCCAATTTTATTTCTCCTTCCCTAAGGGTAACCACTACTATCTGTCCTTTCATTTTGTATTTTATATACACACATGTAGACACAAACGCACACACAGTGCCCAAATAAATATATGGTTTAACAATTTTTCACATATAAATAAATGGGGTAAGGCAGTACATACACACTATTCTACAATTTGCTTTTTTCCCCCACTGACAAACGTACTTTGAAATTCTTCCAGGTCTATACAGGCACATTTAACTGATTGGGTTTTTTTTGTTGTTTTGTTTGAGACAGGGTTTCACTCTGTCGCCTAGGTTGGAGTGCAGTGGTGCGATCTCGGCTCACTGCAACCTCCACCTCTCAGGTTCAAGTGATCCTCCAGCCTCAACCTCCTGAGTAGCTGAGATTACAGGTGCACACCACCACGCCCAGTTAATTTTTGTATTTTTAGCAGGACAGGGTTTCACCAGGTTGGCCAGTCTGGTCTCAAACTCCTGGCCTCAAGTGATCCACCCACCTTGGCCACGTACAGTGCTAGGATTATAGGCATGAGCCACCATACCCAGCCTGTTTTTTTTCTTGTTTTTTTTTTTGAGACAGAGTCTTCCTCTGTTGCCCAGGCTGGAGTTCAGTGGTGCTATCTTGGCTCACTGCAACCTCTGCCTCCCAGGTTCAAGTGATTCTCCTGCCTCAGCATCCCAAGTAGCTTGGATTACAGACATAAGCCACCACGTCTGGCTGATTTTTTTGTATTTTTAGTAGAGACGGGGTTTCTCCATGTTGCCCAGGCTGGTCTCAAACTCCTGAGCTCAGGAAATCTGCCCACCTTGGCCTCCCAGAGTGCTGGGATTACAGGCATAAGCCACCTCACTCAGCCTAACTCATTGTTTTTAACAGTTTCATTACAGTCTATGGTATTTTTGTGCCATCATTTACATAATCAGTGTTTTGTTGACGGTTATTTAGATTGTTACATCTGAAAATATCTTCCAGAATATGTCTAAAATTAGAAACACAGAGTCAAAAGGAATGTATTTTAAAATGTCAACAGATACTGTTAACATTGCCCTTCAAACAGGCTGCACCAATTTATATTCCATCCTCAGTGCCCATTTCTTCAAAGTCTCACCAACCTACATATCCTTCATCCAATCTGATGGGTGAAACATCTCTCTCTCTCATTTTAGCATTTTCCTGATTACTTGTGAAGTTAAAGAGCCTTTCACATACTTATTGCTGTGTTTAGTTCTTCTACAAATAAAATACATATTTTTCGCTAATTTTTCTATTAAGATTCGGTCTTTTTCTATTAATTGGTTCACAAGAATGTAATCAATTTTTGAAGTTTTTTTGTTTGATTTCCTTGGGTTTGATAGATCTATGGTCAAGTCGTAGAAACTTATAAAAATTTTTCATTTTTTCATTTCCTATTTCTCATCTTTTACCTCTAATCTTTTTTTTTTCTTTTTTCTTTTGGTTGCTGCGTTGCCCAAGTTGGAGTGCAGTGGCGCGATCTCGGCTCACTGCAACCTCTGCCTCTCTGGTTAAAACGATTCTCCTGCCACAGCCTCCTGAGTAACTGGGATTACAGGCACCCACCACCACTCCCAGCTAATTTTTGTATTTTTGGTAGAGACGTTTCACCATGTTGGCCAGGCTGGTCTTAAACAAGTGATCCACCCACGTCAGCCTCCCAAAGTGCTGGGATTACAGGCGTAAGCCACCGCGCCCGGCCTTTTCACCTCTAATTTCTAATTGCTATTAGCTGCATCACCAGTACTAGGTTTGAGGCATCTGTATAACATCGCTGAAGCTTCTTACTCTTTAGACTAAAAACTTGACACAATTACTAAAAAGAACGTAATTTTTTAATTTAAATTTTGTTTTTCTTGTCAACAAAAGGGAAGCATTATAGTGCCTACTTAATGCAGACTACTGGCCTAGGTTTTTTGGGTTTCTTCCAGGTGTGTTTCTTTAGGACAGAGGCTCCCTATTGCCCAGGCTGGTCTCAAACTCCTGACCTCAAATGATCCTCCCAGTTCAGCCTCCCGAGTTGCTGGAATTACAGGCATGAGCCACCGTGCATGGCTATAGCTTAGGTGTGATCACTCACTCTACCACTTAGTAGTTATAGTACTTAGACAAGTTACTTAAACTAAGTCTCACTTTCTTCATTCATAAAGTAAGAATTTAATATCTTCATAGTCTCCTGTGAGGACTGAGAGAGCATTCTTATAAAGCACTTAGCACAACACTCTCCACTAAGAGCTCAATAAACATTACCAATTTTACTATTATAGCTACCAAGAGACAGCTGTATAAGAGTTGCATAGATTGGCCTACTAAAAAGAAACAAAATTTTGCTTGGCATGGAAAATTATTTGTGCTATCTTTCATTCATATATGCTCCCTACACGGTAAATAATCAAAGTGGAATGGTTTTCAAGAAACCTAAAAATTTCAGTCTCTACAGGGCAAAGTGCCATACCAAATTTGCTTCTAAACCAGCATACTCAACACATAGATGCTTAATCACAATTACACGTATACTATACTTACGATTTTTGTGGCCTAGTGTCATAATTCTATCCATATCATCAGCATTATTTACCACATAAGCTGATAAATCTTTGATATAAACTCCCACATCAGGTCTTTCTTTAACCTAAAAAAAAAAAATTAAGACTTCATACTATATCAATAACTCTCCCACAGTTATTTATTGAGGATCTCCTATGTGTTGGACACTCTACTAGACAGGGGGGATATAGCGATGAGTAAGACAGACACTGTTCCTACATGCATGGAGATGTCAGTCTATAGGAAGAACATACAAATGAAGAAGTACACACAAAAATTATTTTATTTCAATTGTGATGACATGAAGAAAAATACAGAAAAAGTACAGAATACTAAGCTAGTTAAGGAGATAGGATAAAATTCCCCAAGATGATGTTTAAGCTAAAATTTCTTTAAATAAAAAGGAGGTAGACAGTCAATTGAGGTAGGAGAAGAAGAAAATGTGCAAGAACCCTGAAATAAGAAAAAACTAGGCACTTAACAACAAACCGAAAAAGACAATGTGGTTGGAGAAAGCAGGAAACAGGGAAAAACAGGTGAGACATCTGGTTATATAGGAAGGCAGAGACAAGTTTAGAATAGTTTTTGGTCTTTATGGTAAGAATAATTTGGAGAATTTCAAGCAACTGAGGGAAATAATCAGATCCATGGTATCAATGTTAAAATATGATCTTTCTGTGAATTACCTTACGAGAATTTTTAACCAAATTTGAAAAAGGTATTTAGGATGGATTTACCTAAAATACAAGTGGCGTTGTATAAACAAAATTCACTTTGAAGGTTCAGAGTCACCTCTACAAACCAACAGAATGAAAAGTGAAACTGAGGCAGAAGTCTGTGGCTGCCAGTGGGAAAAACCATTCCACGGGTAGGAAAACCTCATAGACATCAAAGACAAACGAAAATGTGATAAACAATTCCAGGAGAAAAAGTTGTAAGCGCAGACACTCAACATTCCAGTTGTTGATTTTCAATGTTGTGTGTGTGTGTACGCGTACCTTTTATAACAATTGATAAGATAAATTTAGAAATTAGGAAAAATCCTTTATCTGTCATGGGATATAAATTAAGCCCTAATTTTATTAGTAGTAAAAAAAAAAAGTGTGATGATCTCCATAAACCAGTGGATTTCAGACCTTGCTCTGAAAAGCCCTAGAGGGTCCATGGTGGCACTGAGGGGGCCACTGTAGGAGTTCAGGGGTCTTCAGGCCCAGAGAAGTTCTAAAGAGAAGGGCGCTTTCATGAATTTTACACATTGAGCTTCCACATAAGGTCTAGTTTGATGAAAGTGTTTAAATGCTTTACACCTTTTAAAAGGTTTGAAAACTATTGGTCTATATCAATACTTCTCAAAAAATCTGTGATAAGGGATGTATATATTTGTAATACAATAATTTTGTAAAATACAAAAATCATGCACTTGGATGCCATGGCCAATGTCAAATTGCTATGAAAGTTTTTAAGCAACTACTCTCAGTTTTTGTATTCATTCTCACTGCAGACTGAAAACGGACATTCTTCAAACTGATATCTGTCTGCAGACTCGTGGTCTTTTCCAGTCAATATATGATACTAATTCAAAATTCGATTAATAAGTATATTCAACTAATAACTGATTAAATATGAAAGATAAAGAAAGAAAATATAATTCCAAATCTGTGAAAGTTAAAAAACTGGATGGAAATGCTACCAAAGAATTTTTATCATAAAAAACATAGGAATTCAATATCTATGACAAACACAGTTTATAACAATGGATCTCAATGGAAACAGTTATCCTCTTGTCCTAGAATGTTTTAGAAATTTGCACAAGAGTTTCTGGTTCACTTGAGGACACTGTAGTATTGACAGGCAGGGACCAGGGATACTAAATATCCTGAAATAAGTGGGACAGTCTCACCCAATGAAGAACTGTCCCACACAATTTTGAATGTCCTACCAGATATTCACATGGTAAAAAAAACTACTTATAATTATTTGAGTCTAGACCCAGATAATTATATCTGAGTCTGTCATATGTAACTTTATTTCACATATAAAGACAAAGTGCCTTTCCATATAGCAATAATAGGAGAACACAGAAAAACTGAGAAAAGAATTGTACTTTATTTTGCTCCAAACTCTACCAAGAGCTAGTCACTATTTTAAAAGACCATGTCATTGACAATAACACCAATCAAGGGGTTTAGATCAACAATACAATATACCTGTTGACACTGCATTTGAAGCTGTTACAATTTTGATTCTATATGCCTCTATTTTATTATGTCATCAAGTGTGGTCACATCTAAGCATTTACATACCTAAATTTATTTTTAATTACTTGTATTCTCCTTTATATACGGTAGGGTAGTATATGAATTTTTTTAAAAGTATGTGTATAGGTAGATTTTATTAATGTCACTTATGAATTTTATTTCAGGACAGTCAAAAGAGCATTACAAAATGTACGTTATTTAGAAAGGAGCACTGGGTCTAACAGAGTTGAGAACCATTGACAAGAATCTTCCAGAGAAAAAATCTGATCTATAATTACTGGTACAAAAATGGAAATGTTCTTTCCAAATGATTTTTTCCTAGAATTTGCATAAGACAACAAATTTTTTAGGACATGAAAGCACAGAATTAATCAGAACTAAAGTTGAAAACTAGCAACAAAGAAATTTGTTTCTATATTTGCTATATAAATGGTATCAGAGAATAAGGCTTCATGAAGGTCCAACAAGCACAAACAATCCTTAACACTGTAATACATTGCTCCAAAAACTCCGTTTATGCAGTAAACTCAAAAAGAAAAAAAAAGCTAATATTTATTATTTTATGTCAGGCATTGATTTAAACACTTTGATCTGTTAATGTTGGTAATAATCCTATGAAGTAGATACCATTATTATTTCCATTTTTATGGCCAAACCAAGGCTCACAGATATTAAGTAACTTGCTCAAGATCAGAGCCAGAATTCAAGCTAAGATGGTAGACTGCTAGAATCACCTTCTTAATCCTAGATGATACTGCCATTCACTTGCTATGTGACCTTGAGCAAGTCAAGAAACCCCTCTAAATTTCAGTTTCCACATCACTGAAAAAGAACTGCTGGGAAGATTAAATGAAATTAATTATTTACTACTACCAACAACTATCAATTACTGCACTGGATGCCTATATCATATTACAAGAGCTTAGCAACGCTGGCTGCTGTTCTACACATGCTCTATACTATCCTACAATGGCAGCTACTGCTGTTCTACATGTTACTCTACATACGTTATTCTCCTCTATTTTACTGGTGATGCAATCCAACTAAAATTCCAGGATTAACCTTTTCCTTGCTGTATGTCTCACATCTTAAAATACTAAAGTATGCAGCAATATCAAATTTACCAATCATTTACCACCTGACTCAGCAATCCTGCTTCAGTAATTTATCCCCAGATATGCCTGCAGATGTACGACATTATATATGTACTAGGTTATTTAAAATATAAAAAGCAACTTCTGTTTAAAAAAAGAAGGGGGACCTTAATTTAGTAAACATTCTACTGCTTTGGAAAAAGTACTCCACCAATTTCAATTATCCTTACCTCTAACCTTTGTGTCTGATCCTTGCCCAAAAGGTCACGAACTTCTTCATTATATATTTCCAAATAAGACACTCGAACCAAAAATCTATAAATAAAACATCATTTTTAAAAAGTCGAGGAGAGTGGAATATTTGTAAGAGCCGTTTTAAAACATGTTTATAAAATTTATACCTATGTGCCTTTTCTGTGTTTGTACTTCTCAATACTAGAAAATAAAAGAATTCCCTTTTACCTTGTATCACCCTCTGCTTTTGCAATATGACCAAATATGTGAGCAAATGAATTGGGAATTATTCCTCTAAGTTCAGGAACAGCTCGAACACCTTCCATGGTAAAAGTTTTGCCTGTTCCAGTTTGTCCATATGCAAAAATAGTCCCTGAAAATGATGAAGAGAATCAGTTACTTCTTAAAGTCTAATGCTACAGAACAATAGCTCTTAAAATTAATTCCTTTGACACTGTGATGTAATTTCTTCCCTGGATTCAAAATTTATTCTCACACAAGTTTCACCTTTATTATCAACAATTACACTGTGTAGTCTGTACCACATGCACAAAGCACTGTTACAGCACCAGAGTCAATGAGAGATATCCCTAATAATTAATAAAAAGCATCCCAAGTCCTAAATGCAAAAATCTTCCAATATATCTAATTATGAGACATTTCTTATCATGTGTACATAAAGTACTTATTGTGGACATTAAACTGGAGAAGGTATTATAAGCACAGCAAAAGAATACAGGCTTTAGAGTGGAAAGACCTGTCTCAAATCACATCTGCCACTTTTTAGCCACTGACCTTGGACAAGTTATCTACCCAGAGACTGTCTCCTCAACGGTAAAATGGGGATAAGAAAACTCGCCACTGATAGTAAGAACCAAATGAGACAATTTCCTTCAAGTAACCAACACAACATCTCATAGAAAGTATCAGTAAAATGATAGCTTTTTTTCCTAGTCCTAAAATAAGTGTATTTTTAAACAATTGTTTTAAAGTAACAACTGTAAGAAACAGAGTTAACAAAAAGATGACAATACAATTATTACAGGTAATTACAGATAAAATCTCAACTTTCTAAATACCTAAATTCATTCATTCAACAAATATTTACCATACCTGAGTTTGGCATTGTGCTAGGCACTAGAGACAGAATGACAAGACAAATGCAATCCTTAATCTTATGATGTGTATACTCTTGGGTTTATCATGATAATGAGTATTCAGAATGAGAAACACGGAGTTCAAGATGGGAGTCAGGGACATCAACTAGGCAGAGGAATTGTAGTGGGAAAAAGGGAGAGAGGGTCAGGGAAGACTTTCCAGAAGAGGTAAGGTTTAGATCTGAAATACAAGTAAGAATCAGATAGGAACAGTGTGGACAGTAAGAGGCAAGAAAAAGAATGGAAATTTTGAGGACTGAAATGAGACCAGAATGGAAGAAACAGAGATAGAAAGGGAAGGTGGATACAGGCAGAGCTAGAGAAACTGACAATGCCATAATCACACAGTGTAATAAGGACCATATTAAACTTTTTAGACCTTATCCTAAAAGCAACACGAAGCCATAGAATGATTTTTCAATCAAAGGAGTGACATCATGATCACTATGGCTATATTGTGGATGAAGAATTGGAGAAAAGCAAGGGTAGATGTGGGGAAACAGAGGGCTGGAGTAGTTGGCCAGGACACAGTATAGTAAGAGAAGATAGCCTTGGATGTGATGGCATATATGAAAATGGTTCCTCAACTATTACTACTCTATTCAGTTAACCTCAACTTTTCTCAGACTTTTTTTTGTGAAAATAATCATAACATACTTTTCAGACTTTTCTGTGAAAATAAATGAATCATACCAGAAGCCATTTTTTACACACAGGAATAAAAAAGTCTCAATTTTTTCAAACTGACTAAATATTTCAAACTCTGCTATTAGGAATGTAACACTACAATCAAAGAAGTGGAAAATATGAACTCATAGACTGCATTTCAGAATAGACACATTAAATTATTAAATTAAAAATAAGCTTTATTTTTAATTTAATAATTTAATGTGTCTATTCAGTAAGGACAACAGCTGTCACTTACTGATAATTTGCTATGTGCTAGGCCATGTACTTTTTTTTTTTTTTTAAAGAGATGAGGTCTTGCCCTGTCACTCAGACTAGAGTGCAGTGGCATGATCATAGCTCACTGCAACCTCAAACTCCTGGGCTCAAGAGAATCCTCCTGCCTCAGCCTCCTGAGTAGCTGGGATTACAGCTGTACCTCCCAGTTATGTTTGCATTCTTATTTAACTTCCATCCCAATCCTAAGAGATAGGCACTATTTATTATTATTAATATTATTTAAAAATAATAAACAATGGCCAGGCAGGGTGGCTCATGCCTATAATCCCAGAATTTTGGGAGGCCAAGGAGGGCGGATCACTTGAGGTCAGGAGTTTGAGACCAGCCTGGCCAACACGGTGAATCCCCACCTCTACTAAAAATACAAAAATTAGCCGGGTGTGGTGGTGCACACCTGTAGTCCAGGCTACTTGGGAAGGTGAAACACAAGAATTGCTTGAACCTGGGAGGCAAAGGCTGCAGTGAGCCAAGATTGCACCATTGCACTCTAGCCAGTACCACTGCACTCTAGTCAGGGCGACAGAGTGAGACTCTGTCTCAAAAAATACAGTAAATAAATAAATAAAAACAATAAACTATATTCTGGGCTGGGTGCCATGGCTCATGCTACAGTCCCAGCACTTTGAGAGGCTGAGGTAAGAGAATTACCTGAGCCCAGCCTAGGCAACCCAGTGAGACCCCATCTCTACAAAAAATTTTAAAGATTAGCCAGGTGTGCATAAAAAGGAACGAAATAATGGCACTGGCAGCAACCCGGCTGGGACTAGAAACTATTATTCTAAGTGAAGTAACTCAGGAATGGAAAACCAAACATCGTATATTCTCACTTACAAGTGGGAGCTAAGCTAGGAGGATGCAAAGGCGTAAGAATGATACAATGGACTTTAGGAACTCAGGGGAAAGAGTGGGAGGGGGGTGAGAGATAAAAGACTACACACTGGGTACAGTGTACACTGCTTGGGTGATGGGTGCACCAAAATCTCAGAAACAACCACTAAAGAACTTATTCATGTAACTAAACACCCCCTGTTCCCAAAAACTTAATTGAAATTAAAACTAAATTTAAAAAAAAAATTAGCCAGGCACGGTAGGATGCACCTGTAGTCTCAGCTACTGGGAAGGCTGAAGCCAGAGAATCACTTGAGCCCAGGAGGTTGAGGCTGCAATGAGCCGTGACAGTGCCACTGCACTCCAGCCTGGGTGACAGGGTGAGACCTTGTCTTGAAAAAAACAAAAACAAACAAACAACAACAACTAAAAGAAAAACTATATTCTGGGTCACAAAACAAGTCCTAATAAATTTAAAAAGGTTCAAGGCACATAAAGTTGTTCTCTAACTAAACTGAGATTAAGTTAGAAATCAATAACCGAAAATCTCTAGAGAATCTAAAAACATTTGGAAACTAACACATTTCTAAATAACCTAGGATCAAAGAAGAAATCAGGAGGTAAAATAGTATTTTGAACTACATGAAAATGAAAACACAGTATGTCAAAATCTGTAGGATGACACTAAAACAGCACTCAGTGGCAATCTATAGCATTAAACTCCCATATTAGGAAAAAAGGTCTCAAAACAATGGCCTCAGTTTCCACTTTAAGTAGAAAGAAAAGAGGAAAGTAAGCCCAAAGTAAGTAAGAGAAAAAAAAAAAAAGATCAGAGCAGAAATAGATGAAATAGGAAACATAAAAACCGAAAGAAAAATTAATAAAACCAAAAGCTGGTTCTCTGAGAAGATTGATAAGATTGATAAACCTCTAGTCAGACTAATCAGGAAAAAAAGGAAATAGTAAGTTACCAATATCAAGAATGAGAAAAGTTATACCAGTACGTTCAACATACTAAAAGAATAATAAGGGAATAGTGTAAACAACTTTTTGCCAATGAATTTGACAACTTAGATGAAACAGACTAATTCTGTGAAAGACAAGCTACCAAACCTCACTTAAGAAAAAACTGACCAGGCACGGTGGCTCACGCCTATAATCCCAGCACTCTGGGAGGCCAAGGCAGGCAGATCACCTGAGGTCAGTAGTTTGAGACCAGCCTGACCAATATGGTGAAACCTGTTCCTACTAAAAATACAAAAATTAGCCAGGCATGGTGGTGAGTGCCTGTAATCCCAGCTACCCAGGTGGCTGAGGCAGGAGAATCGCTGGAACCCGGGGAAGGAGAGGCTGCAGTGAGGCGAGACTGTGCCACTGCACTCCAGCCTGGGCAACAGAGCAAGACTCCGTTTCAAAAAAAAAAGAAAAAATAGATAACCTGGCCAGGCATGGTAGCTCATGCCTGTAATCCCAGTGACTTGCAAGGCTGAGATGGGAGGACTGGTTGAGTCCAGGAGTTCAAGACCAGCTTAGGAAACATAGTTTCTTATCTCTACCAAAAAAAAAAATTAAAATTAGCTGGGCATGGTGTGGTGGCACACACATATAGTCCCACCTACTCAGGGGGCTGAAGTGGGAGAATTGCTTGAGCCCGGGAGGCAGAGACTACAGGGAGCCACAATCACACCACTGCACTCCAGCCTGGGCAATACAGACCCTGTTTCAAGAAAAAAAAAATAATAATAGAAAAAAATTAGCCAGGCATGGTAGCACACACCTGTAGTCTCAGTTATTGGGGAGGCTGAGGTGGGAGGATTGCTTAAGCCCAGGAAGTGGAGGTTGCAGAGAGCTGTGATTGTGCCACTGTACTTCAGCCTGGGTAACAGAGTGAGACCCTGACTAAAAAAGGAAAAGAAAAAATACATAATCTGAATAGTCTTATGTCTATTAAAGAAATTGAATCAATAGTCAAAAACCTTCCCACAAAGAAAACTTCAAGCCCAGATGGCTTTACTGATGAATTCTACCAAACATTTAAGAAATAATACCACTTCTAAACAAATTCTTCTAGAAAACTGAAAAGAAGGGGATACTTTCTAACTCATTCTATGAAACTAGCATTATCACAATACCCAAACCAGAAAAAGGCATTAGAAGGAAACTACATACTTGCATCCCTCATGAACATGGATGCCAAAATTTTTTTAATTTAGCAAATAAATCTAACAATATATGAACAGAACAATGCATCATGACCAAGTAGCAAAGCTAGTTTCACATTCAAAAATCAATCAATGTCATTTACCATATTAACAAACCTTTAAAAAAAAGATTATTTCAATAGGTGCAGAAAAAAATGGTATTTGACAAAATCCAATATACAATCCAAAAACTCTCAGCAAACTAAGAACAGAAGGGAACTTCCTCAAACTTACAAAGGATATCTGTTAAAATCTACAGACATCATCATACTGGTGAAAGAATGAATGCAGTCTCCCTAAGGTCAGGAACAAGACCAAAATGTCCACCCTCACCATTTCTAGTCAACATTTACTGGAGGTTCTAGTCTCCAGGTGCTATCAGGTAACAAAAATAAATTTAAGGAAACTGGAAAGGACAAAGTAAAAACTGTCTTTACTTGCAAACGACTTTTTTTTTTTTTGAGACAGTTTTGCTCTGTTGCCCAGGCTGGAGTGCAGTGGCGCGATCTCGGCTCACTGCAAGCTCCGCCTCCTGGGCTCACACCATTCTCCAGCCTCAGCCTCCCGAGTAGCTGGGACTACAGGCGCCCGCCACCACACCCGGCTAATTTTTTGTATTTTGTTTAGTAGAGATGGGGTTTTACCGTGTTAGCCAGGATGGTCTCGATCTCCTGACCTCGTGATCCTCCTGCCTCGGCCTCCCAAAGTGCTGGGATTACAGGCGTGAGCCACCACACCCGGCCCATTTTTGTTTGTTTGTTTTGAGAGAGTCTCGCCCTGTCGCCCAGGCTGGAGTGCAGTAGCGTGATCTTGGCTTACTGCAACCTCCCCCTCCAGGGTTCAAGTGATTTTCCTGTCCCAGCCTCCCAAGTAGCTGGGATTACAGGCATGTGCCACCATGCCTGGCTAATTTTTTTTATTTTTAGTAGAGACAGGGTTTCACCATGTTGGTCAGGCTGGTCTTGAACTCCTGACCTCGTGATCCGCCTGACTTGGCCTCCAATGTGCTGGGATTACAGGTGTGAGCCACTGTGCCTGGCCAACAGATTCTTACATGGAGAAAATCCTACAAAATTTACAAAAAATCCAAAACATAAAAAAAGTACTAGAATTAATAAGCAAGTTTAGCAAAGTTGCAGGATACAAGGTCAATATACAAAAATCAATTGTGGGTACTAAGAGGGCAGTCATCAAAAAGATAATAACAAGTGCTGGCAAAGATGTGAAGAAATCAGAAACCTCACACATTGCTGATGGGAAGAGAAAATGGTGTAGCTACTGTAGAAAAGTTTGGCAGCTCCTCAAAACGTTAAAGAGTTACCATGTGACCCAGTAATTCCACTCTTAGGTATATAGACCCAAGAGAAACTAAACATATTTTCACACAAAAATCTGTAAAAGAATGTTCAAAGTAACATTATCTGTAATAGCTAAAAAGCAGAAACAACAAATGTTCATCAACTAATAAATGGATAAACAAAATATGATATATCTATACAATATTATTCAGACATAAAAAGTAATGAATTGCTGGCCATGTGCAGTGGCTCACACTTGTAATTCCAGCACTTTGGGAGGCCGAGGCGGGTGGATCACAAGGTCAGGAGTTCGAGACCAGCCTGGCCAATATAGTGAAACCCCCATCTCTACTAAAAATACAAAAATTAGCTGGGCATGGTGGCAGGCACCTGTAGCCCCAGCTACTCGGGAGGCTGAGGCAGGAGAATCACTTGAACCTAGGAGGCAGAGGTTGCAGTGAGCCAAGATCACACCACTGCAATCCAGCTTGGGTGACAGAGCAAGACTACGTCGCAAGAAAAAAAAAAAAAAAAGACCAGGTGCGGTGGCTCACGCCTATAATCCCAGCACTTTGGGAGGCCAAGGTGGGCAGATCACGAGGTCAGGAGATCGAGACCATTCTGGCTAACACTGTGAAACCCCGTCTCTACTAAAAACACAAAAAATTAGCCGGGTGTATTGGCGGGCGCCTGTAGTCCCAGCTACTTGGGAGGCTGAGGCAGGAGAATGGCGTGAGCCCGGAAGGCGGAGATTGCGCCACTGTACTCCAGCCTGGGCGACAGAGTGAGACTTTGTTTCCAAAAAAAAAAAAAAAAAGAAGGAATTGCTGATATACGTTTATATGTTACAATACAGATGAAGCTTGAAAACACTGTAAGTGAAATAAGTTATTCACAAAAGGCCACATAGCATATAACTCCATTTACAGAAAATGTCTAGAACAGGCAAACTCACAGAATAGATATAGACTGCAAATTAGTAGTTGCTGGGTTGGGGGAAGGGAGGTGGTAATGGATTGGGAGTGACTGCTAATGGATACAGGGTTTCTTTTTGGAGTGATAGAAATGTTCTAGAAACAGACAGTGGTGACAGCTGCACAACATTGTAAATGAACTAAAAACCTATGAACTGTAAAATCATAAATTTGATATTTGAATTTTATCACAAAAGCTACCTAAAGAAATCAAGTTCATCTCTATATATTAGTAACGTACAATCCAAAATTGAAATTATGAAAGCAATCCTATTCACAATAACATCAAAAAAATACTTAGGAATAAATTAATCAAAACAAGTACAAGACTTGTACACTAAAAGCTACAAAATACAGATGAGAGAAATTAAGACATAAATAAATGGAGAGAAGCTGGACATGGTAGCTGACATGAGAAATCACAGTGCTTTGAAAGGCCTCAGCAGGAGATTCCTTGAGCCTAGGAATTCGAGACCTGAGTGAGCAACACAGCAAGACTTAGTTTTTACAAAAACAAAAAAATTAGCCAGGTGTGGTGGTGCACAGCTGTAGTTCTCGTTACTTAGGAGGCAGAAGGGAGAGGATAGCTTCAGCCCAGGAGTTCAAGGCTGCAGTAAGCTATGACCGCACCACTGCACTCCAGCCTGGGCAACAGAGCAAGACCCTGTCCATAATTAATTAATGTTTCAACGTTTTAAATGGAGAGAAGTATCATGTTCATGAACTGGAAGACTCAATATTGTCAGAATGACAATTCAACACAATCCCTATGAAAATCCTAGTAGGATAAACTTCAAAAACATTATTTGATGTGAAAGAAAACAGATAAACAAGGTGACATATTATATGACATTTCAAGAAAAGGCAAAATTACAGTGACAGAAAGCAGATCAATGGTTGCTTGGGGGTGGGTCTGCAAACGGACATAAAGGAACTTTTGGGGATGACAATGGTGTTCTAAAGCTGGATTGTGATGATGGTTTCATAACTGTATACATTTACTACACTCATCAAACTGTACAGTTGCAATAGGTGAATTTATGGCACGTTAATTATGTCTCAATAAGGGTGTTTTTTAAAAAGTAAATATTCACTTACCATTGTAGCCTTCAAGTACAGAATCAATAATAGGTCTTGCAGTTAAGTTATAAACATCAAGTTGTTTACTCTCTGGTCCAAAAACAGTATCAAAAGTAAATGTCTTCGGAGGTTCATTGGAAGAATCAGTCTTATGTACAGTGATAGTTCCCCTCATCTCATCCACACTGACAGCCTGTTTGTAGCACATTGATTTCTCTCTCTCATTGAGGGGCCGGCACCTAACAACAACCTTCACATTATCGCAGCTTTCTGGCTTCTCTGATTTATTGATCTGTTGGAGATAATATTTACAAATAATGAAAAGAACATTTATTTTTACCCTCAACAGATTAAATGTATAAATTTTAAAAGGCTACTTCGCCACCTCAGTGCCTCGCACACATTAAACACTTCGTAAGTATTTGTTAAATGCAATTAAAGATCTTACATATAGGTGAAAAGTTTATTAAAAGATATAAAAAGGAAAATAGTTTCTTTTAAAACATAAAAGGGAGAGAAAATCTAGTTTACATTTGTGGCAAAGGCTGTACAAGCAGAAACTGAACCAATATATTCTAGATTGTCTTTCTGCACAAAAGTCTCTGACCCAGCATTTCCTGCCTGTAGAAAAACACATGTGACTATGGTTAACAACTTTAACTCAAGAATATAGTAGGACCTCTGTTTCCCCCTGAGACTTTAGTTTTATCCCCTATCATGCATCTGTAAAATGGTTTTTATTATGTAATATATCCATATATGCCTTCTCTACAGAAGACAACAATAAAGACAGAAATGAAAGTCTAATGGCAAAGAAAAATGCCTTATATTACCTAACCTTATGAGCATTTGTGCATGTAAAGTTTCCATTTCTGCATGTTTTTTTCTTATTTTTGAGACAGAGTCTCACTCTGTCACCCAGGCTGGAGTGCAGTGGCATGATCTCGGCTCACTGCAACCTCTGCCTCCCAGGCTCAAGCGATTCTGCTGCCTCAGCCTTCCCAGTAGCTGGGATTACAGGCGTCCATCACCATGCCAGCTAATTTTTGTATTTTTAGTAGAGATGAGGTTTCATTTTGTTGGCCAGGCTGGTCTCAAACTCCTGACCTCAAGTGATCCACCCACCTCGGCCTCCCAAAGTGCTGAGATTACAGGCGTGACCCACCGCACCCAGCTATTTCTGAAATTTTATGATTAAGAAAATATAATGAAACACAATCCTATTATTGAAGTGAAAAGGACAGTTTAGTTGAACAGATACTTGTTAAATTCCTACTGTTTCAGATTCTCTTCTAAGCATTAAAGAGAAACAAATATAAGCCATTGTCATTGACTTTGACATCGTCACTGACAAGTAACAGATTATATCAGTACAATACACTTCTATCTATCTCTGCCTTCATCACACTAGTCTAAATTACCATCATCTTGGCCCTGGATTACTGCCTCCTAACTATATTCCTGAATCTAATTAGATTGCCCTACTGCCTATTCTCCAAATAGCAGTCAGTGTCAACACAAATCTAATCATGTCACTCTCCTACTTAAAAATTCTTCAGTGGTTTCCCATAGATCTCAGGACAAAAACCAGAATCCTTAAGGTGGTCTGTAAGGTCTGGCTTCCACCCATGTCTGCTTCTCTGGGCTTATTTCACAAGATATTCTGCCTGGCTCATCCATGCCACAGCCACACTGAGCTTCTTGGCCTTTTCTTGTCACCAGGCTCCTCACCACTGGCCTTTCCATGTGCTGTTTCTTCTACCTAGAACCATCTTCAGTGGCCTCTTCATTTAGCTAACATCTACTTATCCTTCAGAACTCAACAGACACTTCACCTGGGAAGACTTCCTGACTAGGTCAAATACTCTTATAGGCTCAGAAAGCACCTGCTCTCCCCTTCCTGGACACAAATTTTACTTTTGCTTGTTCCTTATTTGATTAACGTCTTTCTGTCTACACTGGAGGTTGCAAACAGGTAGTCAAGAGGCTGAATTCAGCCCACAAATTTCTTTTGTTTGGTTCATAGTATTTAAAGAGCTTCTGAATTAGTTGCTAAAATTAAGAAATTTCACAAAAATGATTTCTAAAGTCTCTTCTTGGGAGGAAAAAAAAAATGACCTGTTATCATCGCAGACCATCAATCTTACATGTCAATACTTTCCAATTCACCAGAATCTACTTCTCTCTATTGTAGGACACCCACCCACTTCATTCATTAAGGTTTTGTGTCTTATTTCTACAAATACGTATGATTTTCACCTCTGCCCAAGAAGGCAAGCCTCTCTCTTTCCAGGTTCAAGAACCTGACTGGTTTTGCTCAATGTTGTATCTTCAAGGCCTAGCACGTGGTTGGCGCCCAATATTTATTGAATTAAAAACTTGAAAGCAGTGAACAGGTACAAATATAGAGCGTTTAATCTTAAATGTCAAGCACTGTCCTTCTAGTCTCCTGTGCATTATTTCACGCGGATAACAACCCCATGAGGTAAAGTTTACTTGGGCACTAAGGACCCAGACAGATTAAATAATTATGCCAGGCTTCACAACCACTAAATAAGCGGCCATGGCTCAATTTTCCTCCATGACCCCTAACAAGGGGTCTTACAAGGCCCCATTATTAAGTTCACGATAACAATCTGTGAAATCCTGGAAGATAAACATAACACCGCCACACACACAAAGACACCTACAGGTTTCATTCTGCATCATAAGCTAAAGCGCCACAAGAGAAATGACAGCTCCAGGCTAGGAGAGTCGGAGTCTGGGGCTCGGAATAGGGGCAGGCAGCCTTCGCTCCGCTGCCTCCCTGAGCTTGCTCCGAGGCGCAAAGGCCTAACGAGGTGTGGAGCATCCAAAGAGACCCTCCGTGGCCACCCCCAGACGCCCCGCTCAGCAGGCAGGGCTGCGAGCCAGAGAGCAACCTCCAGCACAGCGCCTCTTTGATAAGCGGCGCAGGCCCCACGGGACGCAGCAGCGACGAGGGCAGCAGGGCCTGCCCCAGGCCCCTCTCGAGGCCGGCCGGACGTCCGCGGCCCCGGGGCTGACTAGCCAGGCTCTCCAACCACCTCCGCCGCACGGCCGAGCCTGCCCCGCCCCACCCAGGCAGCCAGCCTGCTCCGCGCCTCCATGGCAACGGCCGCGCCCCCGGGCCAGGCCGCGAGGATGAGAAGAAACCCCAGAGGCGAAGCGACTCTCCTCACCGGCATCTTGGCTCCCTCCCGTGCCCGGCGGACGTCCCCGCCCGGGGTACACCGCAACGACACCGGGTGCGCAGAAAGGCTGGCCAAAGACTATCGAAGCACCTCGTTAGCGCCCTCGAGACTGCGGCTTCCCGGGCGAGAGCGCCCAGTGCGCAGCCGCATTCCGAGCTCGCCCCGCCCCAAGCCCAGTCTCAGACTCTCATGGCCCTTGAATTACGCCTGCGCGGAGGCTTTCCGAGTCCATCTCCTAGGACTCCAGACAGAGGCCGCGCGTGCGCAATGCTGCCATTCTGCTGCGCTAGAAATGTGGCCCGCACTGAGGCGGAGATAACCTGGCAGCCCCGGGTTGGGAGGAGTAGCAGCTCTTAGGCCCGTCTGCTGGTCCTTGCAATACCCGGAATGTTAAAATCAGTAATAGCAATTGCACATTTTCTCTCATCCGAAGAGTTAAAGACCTCACCTACCTGACCTCGCTTGATTGCTAACTTCCTCATGACCGGTCTTACCATTAGAAAGTGAGCTCTTAAGGAGGTTGTTTAGTATTTTCACATGTATCTCCAGAGCCTACACAGAGCCTGGCACAGAGTGAGATTTTTATACGTGTTGGTCAAAGAACCAATGATCCGTCCATCCTTTCCAGTCCACTTGAATGTGTAATGGGCATTTCAAGTTAGTCATGTCCAGAATTGAAATCTTGATCCCCCATCAGTCGCCCCACTACCCCACTCCACCCCCATTAAAAAATTAAAAAGGGCTCCCTCTCATTCTTCCCAGACTTCCTTCGTCTCAATATGTAGGAGCTTAATTCCGACAACTGCTCAGGTCAAAACTGCAAGCTCTTTCATGTGTATGAATATTGTATCTTTAAATACAGCCTGTTGTATCTGTCTTCGTAGTGGAACCATTTGGCCACTTCTCCCACCACCATCGTCTCTCACATGCATTACTACAGTCGCTTAGAACTGGTTTCCTTGATTGTGTCCTTGTCCCCTTTCAGTGTGCTGGACAAGAGCCAGAGTGCTGGTGCTAAAACATGAATCAGATCTTCTCTTTTCTCTGCTCAAAACCCTCCATTGATTTCCCATCTTACAAAGCTAAAGCCACAAGCCCTACAATCCTCCCTCTTGCTTCTTCTGCACCAGCCCCACCTGGCCTCCTTGTATCATCCAACATTCCCGTCGTGCTTCCATCTTAGCATGCAAGGGCTGTGAGCTTGCAGTAGGAACTGATGAAAATAATGATAAGGCATTTTACATAGTGCCAGTGTACTGTTCTACATGCTTTCTTTTTTAAATTCATTTAATCCACACAATAACCTTTTGAAATAAATACTATTTATTATTATTTTACAGATAAAGTAATGGCGGCACAGGACCATTAAATAACTTTTCCAAGGTCATACATTCAAACAATGACAGAGCCCAGGTCCAAACCCAGGCAGCCTAGAAAGTTCTTTCCCTAAATAACCACCTGACCCACTCACCTCCTCCAGAAAGTCTTTGTTCACATAATCCCAGTGAATCCAAATATGATTTTCTTATTTAAAACTCCAACCTTCAGCCTCAACTCTTCTTTTTTTCCCTGCCTACTTTATATTTCTCCATAGTACCTATCACCATTCAATATTTTATATATGTACACACATACAAGCTTTACTGAGATATAATTTACACACCATACCATACAATTCACCAATTTAAATTGTACAAGTCAATAGTTCCTACTATATATGGAGTTGTGCATCCATAACCTAGAACATTTTTATCATTTCAAAAAGACACTCTACACTCATAAGCCACTCCCCCTTGCTCTCTGCAACCCTCCTCCCACCCCACTGCCAACATCCCAGACCTAGACAACCACCAATCTCCTTTCCATCTCTATGGATTTGCCTATTCTGGACATTTCGTATAAATGAAATTACACAATATGCAACCTTTTGTGAGTAACTTCTTTCACTTACAATGTTTTCAAACTTTATCCCTATTGTAGCATATATCAGCAATTTGTTACCCTTTATGGCCGAATAATATTCCATTGCATGGCTATAACATGTTTTTTACCTATTTGTCATTGATGGATATTTGGTTTGTTTCTACCTTTTGCCTATCATGAATAATGCTGCTACAAGTTTTTGTATGAACCTATGTTTTCCTTCCTCTTGGTTACACATCTAGAAGTAGGATTGCTGGATCATTTGGTAATGCTAATGTTTAACATTTCGAGGAACTGCGAAGTTGTTTTCCACAGCAGTGCACCATTTTAAATTCCCACCAGTAACATGTAAGGTTTACAATTTCTCCACATCCTTGCAACACTCACTTTTGTGTAAAGTAGTATCTTGCTGGAGTTTTTATTTCTTTTCATTTCCCTGATCATAACGATGTTGAGCATTTTTTTCATGTGCTTTTGCAGTTTGTATAACTTCTTTGGAGAAATGTTCATTCAAATCCTTTGACCATTTTATTTGTCTTTTCATTATTAAGTTGTAAGAGTTCTCTATATATTCTGAATGCAAAGCCCTTTTCAAGTATATGACATGCAAATATTTTCCCCCATTCTGTGGGTTTTCTTTTTACTTTATTGGTATCGTCCTTTGAAGCACAAGAGTTTTAAATTTTGATCAAGTCCAATTTACGTATTTTTTCTTTTGTCACTAGGCTTTTGGTACATATGTAAGAAACCATTTCCTAACCCAAGATCATGAAGATTTACCTAGAGTTTTATAGTTTTAGCTGTCACATTCAGGTCTATAATCTATTTTGTGGGGTTTTTTTTGTTGTTGTTTGTTTGTTTTTTGTTTATGAGACAGAGTCTCGTTCTGTCACCCAAGCTGGAGAGCAGTGGCACGATCTCAGCTCACGGCAACCTCTGCCTCCTGGGTTCAAGCGATTCTCCTGCCTCAGCCTCCTGAGTAGCTGGGATTACAGGCATGAGCCACCACAGCAGGCTAATTTTGTATTTTTGTAGAGATGGTTTCTCCATGTTGGTCAGTCTGGTCTCAAACTCCCGATCACAGGTGATCCACCCACCTCAGCCTCCCAAAGTGCTGGGATTACAGGCATGAGCCACCATGCCTGGCCCTATTTTGAGTTACTTTTTGTATACAGTGTGATGGAGGGATTCAAATTCATTCTTCTGTATGTGAATATCCAGCTGTCCCAGAACTATTTGCTGAAAAGACTATTCTTGTCTATAGCCATACCACCCTGAATGAGCCTGATCTTGTCTGAAAAAACTATTCTTTACCCCATTGAACTGGCACCTTTGTTAAACTGATCATTAATGCAAGCATTGGTTTCTAGACCCTCGATTCTAGTCCACTGATGTATAGTCCATCCTAATACCAATACCACACTGTCTTGACTACTTTATGTTTGTAGTAAGTTTTGAAATTAGATAGGGTGGGGCCTCCAACTTTCTTCTTTTTCAAGATTGTTTGGCCATTTTGAATCCCTTGAATTTCTTTAAGAATTTCAGGAACACTTTGTCGATATCTGCAAAAAGACAGCTGGAATTTTAACAGGGATTATGCAAAATATATAGATTAAATTGGAGAGTATTGCCATTTTAACAATTTAAGTCTTTCTACCCATGAACACAGAATGTCTTTCCATTTATTTAGGTTTTCTTTAATTTCTTTTAGTGATGTTTTGTAGTTTTTAATGTATACGTTTTACATTTTTTTATTATATTAATATTTTTCCCAAATATTTTATTTTTTGTTTGTTTTTTGAGATGGAGTCTCAATCTGTGGCCCAGGCTGGAGTGCAATGGCACAGTCTCGGCTCACTGTAACCTCTACCTCCCCACCGAGTTCAAGCGATTCTCCTGCCTCATCCTCCCGAGTAGCTGGGATTACAGGCACGTGCCACCATATCCGGCTAATTTTTGTAACAAATATTTTATTATTTTTATGCTGTTGTAAATGAAACTGTTTTTTAAATTTCATTTTCAGATTATTCATTATAGTGTACAGAAATAAAATTGACTTTTATAGTACAGTGATCTTGTACTCTGCAACTTTCCTAAACTTTTTTTTTAGTGGATTCCTTAAGATTTTCTATATACAAAATCATATCATCTGCAAATAAAGACGATATGATTTCTTTCCAACCTGGATGCTTTTTCTTTCTTTTTCTCGCCTAATTGCCCTGGCTAGACTCTCCTGTACATTGTTGAACAGAACTGGTGAACACAGACATTCTTGTCTTATTGATGATTTCAGGTGGAAAGCATTTGATCATTTACTATTAAGTCTGATGTTATCTGCAGGTTTTTCATAAATGCGCTTTACACTGGAAAATTTTCTAGTTTGTGGAGTGTTTTTTATTATGAAAAAGTGTGTGATTTTGTCAAATGCTTTTTCTGATAAAATGTGTTTATGTCCTTTATCAGATACATATTGATTTTTAGATGTTAAAACCAACCTTGTTTTCTTTTCTGTCTCTCTCTCTCTCTCTCTCTCTCTCTCTCTCTCGGTTAGAGCATCAGGGTGATACTTGCCTCACAGAATAAGCTGAGGATAGGGAGCAAGTTCTTCTTAGAAGGGCACTAATTTCATCACAAAGGTCCCACCTTCATGACGTCTGAGAGCCCCAACTTCCTCCCAAAGGTCTCATCTCCAAATACCATCACATTGCAGGTTAGGGTTTCAAAATATGAATTTGCAACAGGGTGTGATAGTTCAGTACTGTAATCCCAGCACTTTGGGAGGCTAAGACAGGAGGAACACTTGAGGTTAGGAGTTCAAGACCAGCCTGGCCAACATGGCTAAACCCTGTCTCTACTAAAAATACAAAAATTAGCCGGTCGTGGCGGCACATGCCTGTAGACCCAACTACTCGAGAGGCTGAGGCAGGAGACTCTCTTGAAGCCAAGAAGCAGAGCTTTCAGTGAGCCAAGATGGCATCACTGTACTCCAGCTTGGACGACAGAACGAGACTCCGTCTCAAAAACAAAAAACAAACAAGAAAAAAAAAAATACGAATTTGGGAGGGACATAAACATTCAGTCCATTACGCAGCCCTAGCAGACTTAATACAATTGTTTAGCCCATTCACATTTAACGTTATTATTGATAATATTAGATGTAAGTACCCCATTTTTCTTTTTGTTTTCCCTTCCTTCCTCCCTGCCCCTTTCCCTCCCTCCCTCCCTCCCTCCCTCCCTTCTTTCCTCCCCTCCTCCTTCCTTTTTTGAGATGGGGTCTCACTCTGTCACCC